TGGACTCCTTCATCCTCTGAATCCACAAGCAAAGAAGGGAGTTACTGTGTGGTTGGGATGATTAATCTGACTACTAAGGGGTAATTGGACTACTGATTCATAATGGAGGTAGGAAAGAGTATGTCTGAAATATAAGAGATCCCTTAGGAAGCCTCTTAATATTGCTATGCCCTACAGTTAAGATCAACAACTGCAACAACTCCACCCAGGTAGAACTCCTTAATACTTCAGATCTTTCAGGAAAGATGGAAAAGAACCATGACCAGCAGAAGAATAAATAAAAAAAACAGGTAATAGAAGAAGTCAGTTACAAATGCCAGCTATGACCACATAAACTGTTAAAGAAATGAGGATTATAATTGTCATGCATACTTCCTCCTTGTTTTGATATGGATATGTTTTTGTGTATGTGCACAATATGTGTATATCAAATATTCTTGTTTTTGTTCCTCCTACATTGTCATATCCCATAATGTAAGATGTACTGACTTTATGTATGTGATAGCATCTAAGTATTGTTAAATTTTTTTTCGTAGTTTTTAAGTTACTGATTATCAAGAAGAGTTAATATCACTCAAGAAGAGGATTTGTCTCCTCTCTGGAGAAGGGATTAAGTGGCTTCAGTTGTGAATAGGATATTTATATCATGTGAGATGGAATTAGGGTCTTGTCATTGTTTTCACTGGGAGACTAAATATCACTTACAGAGATATTCATGGAGCCAAGATGACAAGGTGTGGACTTGTGATGACTAATTTTATGTGTCAGTTAGACTGACCATAAGGTGCCCAAATAATTGTTCAAACATTATTGTGGGTGCTTCTGTGAAGCTATTTTTGCATGAGTTTAATATTTAAATTGATAGATTGCAGAAAACAAACTGAATGGATAAACTTCATCCATTAGTTGAAGGACTGAATAAAATAAGACCTACAATATTCCACAAATAAGAGAGAATTACCTATCTGTCTTTGAGTTGAGGCATTATTCTCCTCCCCCCCCCTTCCCCCAAATTTTCTGACACAAGCTAAAACGTCAGTTCTTCCTGGGTCTCTAACCTCTTGGCCTTGGGACTGAAATTATATCATAAGCATTTCCTGATTCTTGGACCTTTGGACTTGGGTGTAGTTACACCATCAGCAGTCCTGGTCTCTAGCTGGCTGACTATGGATCTGGGGATTTGTTAGCCTCCCTAATTACATGATTTAATTGAAAAACAAATAATAAACCTCTCTCTCTCTTTATTTCTTTCTCTCTCTCTCTTTCTCCACATATACACACACTCTGTATATTGGTTTTATTCATTTCTCTGGAGAACCCTGCTAACATAATCTATCAAAGACATTTATTTGATGCTAAAGTAGTAAGACATGAATTAGATTCATAAATAGTAAAATAAATATTTACCAGCTGCAAGTTCCAGAAATTTAAAAAATTTAACTAACATTTCATTTTATTTCTATGTCTCTATTCAAAAGTTGCGAAAATCTAGAATGTCATCCGCAAAAACAACAACACAGCAAGAAGCTGCAACTGATCAGGTCGGTTTTCAGGGAAGAGTCACACGGTTAAATGTATACTGGCCAACTACAGCAGTTCTGTGCAAATCAGTATTTCTTTTTAAATTGACATTTCAAAAATAATATTTTAAAGAATAATTAAGTTCTCTGACCAGCCTACAAATATAAAAATCCACAGTGTAGCTAAACTCTCTTAAAGAACTAACAGAGCTTTATGCCTGGAAAATAATCTCCAAAACAGAGGAGGGGAGAATATGAGAAACTAAACAATGCCTACCTTTTTTCTAGGAACAGGCGATTCTGGAGTATGATTTGTAAATACATCTCCTGTTGAAATCATGTGTTGCCATCTGGGCCATTCCTCCTTCCACTATTGAATTATGTCTGACAAGAAAATTCAGGTAAGTTAATCAATGAAGCATTTTGAGTATCTACTAGTGGCTAAATTCTTCACTAAATTTTGAGACAACAGCGAATATGATGCTGTGCCTTTTACAAAGAAGAGAGCAAGAAAACCAAAGAAAGCAAAACAATGAAGAGTGAGTTGACTGGCAACTTTCTTTTCTTCACTATATTTACTTTCATGTCTTTCACTCTGAGGTCCTTGTCATGGACCTTGGGAATAACATGATCCATCCTCTTTACATGAATGTAAAAGTGCCTTGGCTTAATGACACATCAGAGGAAAGATGTTGTGGTGTTTAGACAAATAAAAACTCAACCACTGATTTAATTGAGCTGAAAACAACAATAACAAAAATTACTAACCATGGGTAATGTTGTTTATAACTTAAAGAAATAAGATGTCTAGATCAAGGCAGATCAGTTTTATCACTGAACACCTTAGTATATATTGTTCAACTCCTTCTGGAATAAGGGGTAAGAAATGCTTGGAAACTTTCTGCAGACTTTGGGTCTTCTATGGATGAAAAAGTGTGAAAAATGACTGAAAGTTACAGATGTGGTCTTACTTTTAGAAATATTCTGGCAAACTCGAGCAAAGAAAAAAGAAATGCGTTGACCTGGGAGATATGAATATGTACAAAGACCTCTGTCTTTGGAAGTGATCGAGAACAGGATGGGCAGACTCCTGTCTAAGAGGATTTGGAAGGAATTACTCCATTGATTAGGGTTGAGCTAGATGATTTTTAGCTACCTCCTGAAGCTTTAAAGTTCTGTGATTTGGGATTTTAATGAAGTGTGATCTATTTATTTGCACATTGGGGAGACACTTCAATGACATGATTATTAAAACTCTCTTGCCCAATAATATCATTACACAAAAAATAAACTCAAATTTCATTTGAAAAATCTTAACACAGTTTTAGTGTCCAACCAAACCTAGGATGTGCAGTGTTTCATGAATATAAATTTTTCTAAGGAATGAAAATTCTGCATGCTATTAAGACCTAGAATGTCATTCATATATAGAATTATTTTGGCCATAGAAAAATAACATAGGGGCTTTCTAAGGCTACTGAACACTATTATTTCCACTGTATCTTCAGTTTCTTCAATTTTTATTCATTTAAGTCTGTTTCATTTGTTTGAGAAATGATCATTACAAGAAAGTATAATGATTAAATTGTGTTAAACTCTGGCTTTTCAATACTTAGAATCTGAGTGTATATTGTTTTGCACTCCAGGGAACTCTTCATTTTCTTCCTGTCCATTCATTTCTTCTAATAAAAGGTTAAGACTAAAATAGTTCTTCTTCAGACAATTTCAAGAGCATGTTTAATTTAGTTTTTGTTTCTAAAATTTAGTTGGTAGTCAGAACAATATGATATAAACTTTCTGCATGTTCCTCTCAGTATTGCTTTCCCATATTTAAACTTCTGAATCTGAAATTCTATAAGATAACTCTTATTCTCACCATTGATATTAACACTATATTAATAAAATATCTTGTATACAGTATAAATGTCTATTGGAATCCCATAAAAGAGAGACTAGTTTTCTTTTTAGTATAGTAAGTACAGTTTTTTGAATGAGCATGCTAATCCACAGCCTCATTCATCCTTGACTAGCTACTTGTCTCTATGACACCAATGGCCTCTCAATTCCTTTCCAGATCCTCTGTTGAGATCTGCAGAGGAAGTTACCCAAATTCCATCAGGTAATAACTCACTGGTTAAAAAAAAGCATCTGGCCAAAGGCATTTCCTGGGTTAAACCAGGTTCAGATTCTAAGGATTCAAGCTTGGCTCCTACTATTTAATCTTCTATTCCTATATCTTCAATCAAAGTGTTTTTATTTTCTGAAATAATAATAATTTTTCTCAAGGCTCTCAAAACCCTGCGTCATCTGAAAAGATACATGAAGTCTATAAATATGCAAAACAGAATGAAACATTGATATTTTTAAGTGAAGAAAAAAAAGGTTTCTAAAATGTTTTATTGTTTTAAATAAACAGATTAAATTGCATAAATTAACTCCTGGAAGTTTTGGAAGCCTTTTCACTTTACTGATAGAGAGTGGGATTTAACAACTCAGTTGCTAGTAGCTTTCCCTCCATTTAGTCTTTGTGTGAAAAACACAATAAATGTTTTCTTTAATAGTCATCCCAAATTGAGTTGAGAAATCATCTTTTGGAGATGTAAATTCCTGCTTTGGGTAGAAGACTTGACATTGTTAATCTTCATAGTTTCTTTCAACCTTGAATTCTCCTTAATCACAGTAAACATTTTTTTTTTCTAGTTTGGGAAGGTGATCCATGTGATTTTTGTTTTCTAATAGAATTGTTATAAATAAGAAAGAAAACAAAAAAACCTCAAGCCTTTCTTCACATCAGGGACCAAACATTCCCCGTTTCCACACCGTCTGGTAATTAGCTTGACAATTTTTCCAAAGATAGTTTAAAAATTAATGAAAAATTCTCCATATGTAAATTTTCTTTATAGTAATAGAAAAAAAAAGTTCTCTAAGGAAAACTTTCCCAGGTTAATTTGCAATTTGGGTTGCTAGTAACTGGCAGCCTGTGTGATGGCTCAATGCCTCAATGTTACAAATGAGAATGAGGCCAAGTCTTGTGAATACAGGTCCTCAGACAATTGCTATTTTTATTCCTTCCTCTGGTATCAAGTGTAGGAGAGGAGGGGAGACTGGAGATACAACAGAACCATTTTTTATTGCCATCTTTCACTTCAGTCTAAATGAAGGTATGTGATAAAGAGATGAAGAAATAATATCCTTTTTTCTTATTTTTCTTCAGTAAAGGAGCTTAACTCCAGTAAACATTATTAAAGTATATTTAAAGTTCATTTAAAAGATTAAAGAAGTTAATGCCTCTTAATATAAGGAAAATTATTTTATTATAATGTTTTCAGACATTACAATACAATGGCTGATTTATTATTCCAAATCTGTATTGGGAATATATTCATCCTAGATATATTGATTTTTTTGAAAATAAATTTTGGAAGGGAAGAAGAGCCAAAGCCATCTACCAACAGTTCTTCTTTGCCCTTTTCATAAACAGCACTAGGTCCATCCTGCTAACGGAGACTGTTTCAAAGCAGTAGAAATACTTTTTTTTTTTAATTGCAAAGGTAGGATTAGTCAACTAAAGACATTTCTTAAATAACAAAAGACAAATAATTTTTCCAAACTATATGTTTTTCTAAGTTGAAGCATGAAAGATCAAGTATTTATGGTAAAATAGTCATAGTTAAATACACTGAATTCTAGAAAAGTGTGAAACATTGAAATGGATTATTAATATTATCAGGGTCTTTGTTGGACACAGGAACTTCTGTATTTATTGTTATAAAAATTAAAAAAAATTCTTTCAGATGTTGATAGATCTTTATTTTATTCACTTATTTATATGTGGTGCTGAGAATCGAACCTAGTGCCTCACACATGCTAGGCAAGTGCTCTACCACTGAGCCACAAACCCAGTCCCTAACATAAAAATTTAAAAGGTTACATTCCTCTTTAGAGTCAGAGAAATCAATAAAATTGATTTAAAATTTAAAACAGCATCATATATGTTAAACATGGATAGAAAAATTACATTTGTTGCTTTTTCCATGTTTTTCGATTAAGAACTTTTTAAGGCTTTAGTAGAAATTAGAATAAATGTCATTGTAAAAATGTTACCTATAATTTTTGGCTATTTAGTTTGTACAACGATACTCAAAAGTCCTAAGTTTGTGATGTATAGCAATAATTACATGAATTTTTAATAGTTTGTGCTACAAGGTACCTTGCATTTTAGCATGTTATTCTTTTTTTAACCTTTGTTCTTTTATTTGTTTATTTTTATGTGGTGCTGAGGATTGAACTGAGGATTTATTTTTATGTGGTGCTGAGGATTGAACCCAGGGCCTCCCACGTGCTAGGTGAACAATTTACCGCTGAGCCACAACTCCAGCCCCCAGCATGTAATTCTTATAATTAAAATTATCTGACATTAAACAAGAACTCTGCTTAAATATAAAGGCATATCATCTGAGGAGTAGGATGAGACTGACTGTCAGCCTTGATCCTGCTATCAGCTCCCTTTTAGTTGACCATGGAATAAAAAGATAATATGAATGCATCTTTTGCTAATGGCGTCTGGTTTTATATAGTTACTCTTGCATGAGCTATACAGGTATGGTATGAAATTCAGAGAAGTTCCTAAATCACTGTGGCTGGTTTACTGAGGTGTGATTGTGTAGCTGTTAGAACAGACCCTGCAGTGCCATTCAAATCTAAATGCCCCATAGCTGTATGCTTGGGTGATTAATCTATTCGGGCTTTAGTTTTGTTGTTTTCATCTGTATAAAGAGGGTTGTTATAGGTTAAGAAAATGTATACACACATATAAATATATATATTTTAAACATGTAAGATATGTATGTACACATTAGACATTTGCTTTTGATACATATGAATGTATATTCACTTACTTAGATATATGTATACATACATATACACACATACACACTTAAAACAGTTCTTGGCATGTGGTCAATGCTACTTAAATATTAACTATCATTACATTGCCTTATTTCTCTTTCTGATCTATTAAAGAGTAACAAAATTAAATGATTTGATGTTTCCTTCTTTTCTCTACTTTTTCCTTAAAGGTTTAAAGGGTGCAGCAAAATATCACCATTAAGAAGTTAAGTAAACAAGAATGAGAAGCCCTAAAGCAAGGTGCTGAGTTAATAGGCTAATAACTTCCTGAATGCATACTGGCTCTTTGTAGAACCAGCAGACTGTTAATGGGCTTTTGTTTTAGACATGATAGATTAATATTCCAGGGACAGAACTGATGAGAGCCCTCATAACCACTGCCTCATCATTATCTATTACTAAAACAGCAAATAAGCATAATCTCATATAAATTAAAAAAAAAACAGAATGTAGGCTTTGCAAGGACAGAGATTTTTGTGAGTTCACTGAAGTATCCAGAGTCCATAAAATTGCCTAGAAAATAATGGAAGTTCATTGAGTATTTCTTGAATGAATTGAGCAAATGTAATCCCTGACCTTTCCTTTTAACAGGATTAATATGGAAAACAAAACAAAATGGAATGCTTTCCTATTTCTTGACAGATTTCTATCCTTGGGAATGCTGGTAGGCAGGTAAGCAGGGCTGAAGAGCAGTATGCAAAGGGCATACGTGCAAATGTGTACAGTTAGCAAATATTTCAGATGTCATGGATTTGGTTGAGCATTACAGGAAAGGTGTGGTGTGGAGATACCACTCTTAGATTCATGTGCTCTTGTCACATTTGTATATCAAATATTTTATCTGCATAACTTTAGTGTCTATCTATGCTTACACATTTTTCTCCCCAAATTTTCGGAAATCTTTGACTTCTGACCAAGTGTCATAGAGAACTTAAGTGAAACCTTCTCAGCAGTTAGCTTTCTTTGAAGTTTCTACTCAGCTTTGACTGTTTAAAATAATCAGTTTGACACAATCCCTTTCACTAGTAGGGTTGATAACATAGCATTACTTATGTTTTAGGTCACAATCTCAGAGAGTGAATTGAAATAATAAAACACTCTTAGAACTAGATCTGACTTAGCCAGATCTAAGTACATATTCTTTTCTATTCCTATAGCAAACATTTTCAAAAACAGAAAAACATCTCTTTTTACAGCATTGGTGCGTGCATGACTACACACTGTAAGTTTTAAAAATTATCTTTGTAATGAAAACTGGAAAAGTACTAGTCATCCTTAGCTAAGCTATACCCTATATATTTGCATTTTCTAAATATTAGAAAAACAATAAATAACCTCAAAGTGCATGATTAATTAATTAGACATGATTTCTTAAAACAATTTCCATCATCTCATTTAACTTTGAACTTTTCAGACATTAACAAATCACTAAAGAGCTATCATTGATTTATAAAGTACATTACCACATCAGGCCTAACCCAGAACTCTGGGCCCATAAGAAAAAAGAAAGGTTTACAAGTGAACCAGGACAGAAATACGCTGAAAACACCTATTTATAATCATAGAAAACAATTAGGCCTACTGTTATTAGAGTGAACATTCAGGTTCATTTTATTTCAAGATACTGTGTTTCTATGCTTGAAGCTTGGGTAGTGTTAACTTTACTTGGCCCTTGGACATACAGGGTAAACAATTTACATTATTGCACAGTAACAAAAATACAGCCACAGATAATACAGGATCTAATCAACATTGATACGCTTGGTAATTAAGGCTAACAAACATTGGAAAACAGTCATTTGTAGGATGTGATCAAATATCCTAACACAATGTCACCTGTTTGAGTTACTAGAAAAGATTTCTTATTTCAAAATATATTCATAGTATTCTTTTTTTTCACATTTGTCAAATTCTTTTTATGTGTGCAAGACAGAGGCACTTTAAAGAGCTACCAACTGCAACTTCGGAAGTATCAGACTTGTAGTTTCCACCCTCATTGGTAAATATGGTAAAGAGTGAAAATGAAATTGGATTAGAAAGCAAGTAAACAAACCATTAAATCAGATTTTTTTTAAAATTCCGTAAAAATCATTGTTCTCTGGTTTGAACTTCCATATTATAAAAGAAAAATTAACAGCTATCACCCATCTACATCCAGCCGAGTATTACAGCTTTCCGATGTTAAGGTATAATGGTTTTGCTGTTTGGGCTTGTAAAGGTTTAAAATATCAATGAGTTAAGTACTTTATTTTTGAGTTTTTCAAAGTATTGTATTTTACATAGGTTCTAAGTAGTCAGAAAAGCTAAGACGTCGAATAAAATCTATTGGAAACGTTTAGTAAAGTATATAAAAATTAAAGGACTAAAAAAAAACCCACTTCATTTTAAGTGTAAAAATAATTTGCGTCCATTTGTGGGACTCCAATGACTTTTTCTCTTCTCTTTATTTTTTTCTTATTTTCCCCGGGGTCTTAGTTAGTTGGTACATACTGCACCCGCCACAACACGTTGGAAAGCAGGTCCTGGTACACACTAAGGAATATCCAGCCAGGTAAATACATCAGGGTGATGAGACCCATAAAATTGAGCGGGTAGTGAGAATAGTCCCAGGAACAAGCCCCACACGTGCGAAGTCCCAGACCCCAGGAAAATTCCCAAGCATAGATGAAGATCACGTAGATGGGCACCCGCTTCCAGGTGCTCCAGCCGCGGCTGTAGTGGAGGTGGAAGTAGAGCTTTTCCACCACAAAACTGCAGCTGCCATACATAAAGAAGGACCACAACGACGTGTGACCATTGGTTGCCCCGTCCCCATGTCCTAGCACATTAAAGAAGAAGGTAAAGAAGATCTCATCCAAAAATCCATGCATTCCGAAGAAAAGAAAACGGAGCAGGTCTGGTAGCCCCTGGTTAGGGGCTCCTACTGCGCCCTTGGGGCCGCGGGGTCGACGCCGCCGGCCACTCGCTCCCGAAGGGGCGCGGGTTCCAGGAGGGGCAGGGAGGGCGCCCCTCCGCTGCTGTTGCTGCTGCCGGTATCTCAAGCGCAGGAAGCGCTTCAGGAACACTTGGCAGTGGTAGAGCGCCAGCACGTACTGCAGCGCCAGGTCAAGTGCCCCCGGCGCCGCCGCGCCCCCCGGCCCGCCACCCAGGCTGAGCAGCAGCGCCTGGCTGGCCAGGGTCTGCAGCCCCACGTGGGCCGAGGGGTAAAGGAAGAAATTGAAGACGAAGGCGCTGGGGCAGCGCGGCTGCTGCAGGTAGATCTTCTCCAGGGCGAAGTGGGTGAGCGAGTGCAGGAGACAGCGGTAGGGCGAGGAGAAGCCTAACATCCGGAGGTCCGGACTGCGAACGAAGCGCCATGCCGAGGACACCAGCACGTCCAGGGTGATCCCGTGCATCCCATAGAAGTAGAGGCGCATCCAGGCGGGCAGCGCGGTGCCCTCGGCCGGCGCTTCAGCAGTGGACAGCGGCTCCGGGCAGTGGGCGCCCGCCTCTCCTCCCAGCCCGCTGGGGGGCCCCGGACGCCGCACCGCGCCGCCCCTCTGTGTCGGCCCCTCGCTGTCCACGTCGCTGCCGGCCATGGGCTCGGAGGCTACTCGGGCGCCCGAACCCGCGTCGCGGCCGCCGGGTGCGCGGAGCTGCGAGTCGAGCGGCGGAGCCCCGCGTTGCCTCCCGGTCGCTGCCGGTCTCCGGGGGGCGAGCGGGGAGCTCCGTCCTGGTCGCGGTCCCGTACCGCCGGGGTTTGTGCGCTTGGGGGATGCTAGGGCCGCCTGGCTCGCGGAGTCCCCTACCTTGCCCCTGCCGCGCCCTCCTCACCAGTCCCGGGCGACGTGCGGCCGGCGACACCCGCGCTTACTCTGCGCGGCCTAACTAGAGCGGCGGCTGGGCGAGGGGAGGCGAGGCCGGGCTGCGCGGAGAAACGCAGAGGCTGGTACGAGCACCATCCCCTCCGCGGCTCAGCCCCGCCGCCTCTGCCGCAGGCTCTGGAAGCGTAACGCGAGCAGCGACGGCCCTTCCCCCGGCCTTCCCTTACCCCTCTCCGACCTCTCCCGCCTTCGCAGGCCCCCCTCCCCGCCCCCTCCCGCCTTCGCAGGCCCCCCTCCCCGCCCCGGCCTGGCGCGCCGAGTCTCGAGTCTCGCGGGGGTCTACTCCAGAAGGCCGGGTCCCACTTCTCTGTCCTTTTTCGCCCGCTCTGCACCCGGGTCCCCGGCGGTGCGGGGGTTGCTAGCTGGGCGGAGACGCGGAGTGGAGAAACACCTAACAGGTGTGACTGCGAGCTGTTGGACATTCCCTGTGTAGCGGAAACCAGGGCCAGGCCTTGGCTGGCGGAGACGAATGGCTGGGCGCCACCGGCCGGAGGCCAGGCCCAAGACCAAACTATGGTGTTGTATATTTAATGTTCTTATTCAAAGCCAGCTGTGTCCCAGTCACAGAGAGTAAACCGGGGACTCCACGCCTGCCTGCCCGAGCATAACACGGAATCTGAAATGCTGCTGCAGGGCCTGATCCACTTTTTCAGTCTCTTTCCCTGGTCCCTGTGGTTTCCTAGGGCCAGTTTACTCAGGGTCAAGGACAGAGACTCCAGAAGGTTGAGTTAGTTGAGGTGTTGGAAAAGAGGAAATGTATTGCTCTGAATGTCTTAGGGTGAGTCTCAAGTGGAGAACAGTATCTTTGCTCCGACTGGCACACCCCAAGGCTGTTTTTTTTTTTCTCTCTTTGTGAAACTAGGTCATCCCAGAAAGAGTGAAATAAAGGGTCTTTCTGCCTCTTCTTCCTCTCTTTCTCCCACTCCCCTCTTTTTTCTCTTTTCTTCTTCCCTCCCCTCTCCTCCTTTCCTGTCCCCTCCCCTCCCTTCTTCTTCCCTCCCCTCCCCTCTTCTCTCTCTTAGAAGGAGAAGATCTAGGGGGTTGAGAATGTTGATGTGTTGTTTTCTACATTTTCCTCCCAATTTTGTAAGCTTCGAAATGGAAAGAACCTTAGAAGTCAATTATACTGATTAATTCCTTTCCCTACCTTCATCTCCCTAAATTCATGTCTAGGCACAAAGTAGGTATAGCTTTAGTTTAGTTTGTAAGGAGTTCAGATCCTGTCCTCACTGGATAAAAGGTTTTATGTTTCTTTTTCCCCTTAAAAATAATCATTCTAAGGCAGATTTTTTTTTCACGTTTTTTTATTGGTGCATTGTAATTGTACATGATGGTGGGATTTATTGTTATGTGTTCATATACACACACAATATAACAATATAATTTGGCAATATCACTCTTTGGTATTTTCCCCTTCCTCCCTTCCTGCTACCCCCTGGTCCCTTTCCTCTCCTCTACTGATCTCCCTTTGGTTTTCATAACATACCCCCTCTACCTTTTTTTTTCTCCCTTTTCCTCTCTAGCTTCCACATATGAGAGAAAACTTTGACCCTTGACTTCTGAGTTTGGCTTATTTTCTCAAGTTCCATCCATATTCCTGCAAGTGACATAATTTCATTTTTCTTTATGGCTGAATAAAACTCCATTGGGTATATGTATACCACAGACTTGTTCCATTGCTTGACTATTATGAATTCCACTACTAAAAACAAGGGTATGCATGTATCACTATATTATGCTAATTCTTTAGGATAAATACAGAAGGGTACTGTAGCTGGCTCATATAGTGATTCCATGCCTAGTCTTTTGAGGAACTTCCATACTGATTTCCATAGTGGTTGTACTCACTCACAATTCCACCAACTTTTTTCTCCACATCCTCCCCACCATTTCTTTTTGTTTGCAGATCATTTTTAAGACAACCTCCACCCCAGTGTCTCCTCTTAATTATTTCAACCCCTCATGCTATAATCCATGGCAGTTATTTGTGAATTAGGTATGACAGAAATTAGCTTTGGTGCAAAAAAAAAAACTATGATAATAATCAGCATTTGTATAAGGGCAAGATATTTGTTTTTCAGCTTTGTTAACATTGTTTATTTTGCTGACTCTTTGTAACTGAAAAAAGTCAGTGGGTGGAAGTTGTCTTTGTCACCCCAGGGACAGAGGTGTCATATAGCAGGCTCATCCAGCTTCTGCAAAACAAAAACAGGACCAGTTACCCAATGCTTGAGTAACTACTATGATAATAATAATGTAATAAGATTCACTCTCTCCTTGAGAGGTGTATAATTAATTAAATTGATATGAAAATAATCTTATTATATCTGTGTAAAAATTTACTTATGATTAATGTTAATAATCAGCCAGTAGTACATATAAAATTAAGTGATTCTTTTGACTTGCTATTTTATTCAATAAACTATCCTGGTCCAACTTTATACATTAAAAACAAAGGTGCACTTTCTCCATAGTTGATATTCAGACAAGGAAAAGCACTTTATTCTAAATATAGCAATATATAGTCAATATATGCTAGATTAAACTTGAATCATTTTGAAGTAGTAAATAAAACTTCACTGGCACAAGTCTTCTGTTTATTCTAGCTTTGCTTAATAATGCAAGGAAAACTTGAAAGGTCTTATGCTATAATCAAATCTAGAATTCATCCCAGGGAGTGTAGAAAAATAGTTTGGTTTAAGAAAACTTGGAGGTTCTATTTGTATATTTTAATTTTCTTACATTATATTTATTTATTTTTTCTCAAGGGCACACCCCCAGTGAACTAATCATCTTTCACTGGGCTCATCTCTTAAAGGTTCTGTGACCTCTTACTATTCCCATAAAGGATCAAGCTTCTAGTACGAACCTTTGGAGGACAAATCACATCCAACAACAGTACACAGCAATTATGCCAACTGTGTTTCTGGATCTATGATTTCTTTCTTTCTTTTTTTCTTTTTAATTTCACATGGTACTGGAGATCAAACTCAGAGCCACACACATGCTAGATAAGTACTCTATCACCGAACTATATCCCCAGCCCTTTTTATTTTTTGAGACAAGATCTTGCTGGGTTGCCCAGGCTGGCCTTAAACTTGAGTTCTTCTTGCCTTAGCCTTCTGAGTTGCTGGGATTATAGGTACATGACACATGCCCAGCTTTGAATATATTTTTGAGTTGATTATTGCTACTATAAGCTGTAGAGTTTGCCATAATAGATTTATAAACCCAGGAACTTTAAAAAAAAACTTGATGAACATGAGGGTGAAAGGAATGTAAATATGAAGAAACAGGAAATTGCAGTAAAATAGCATCAATTTGAGATTCCTTAGGTTTGGGGACAACCATTCAAAACATACTTTAAAGCATTATTCTTCTGTGAAAGATATAGGCTTCTTCCTTGCTATCAGGGCCTAAGAAACTGTAACTTGAATGTAGAGATGTAACAGTCCATGTGGAACCAGCACTGACTTTAGTGGACTGGCCGTTGTAGCTATAAGCTGGTACAACTCCTGGAGCCAGGTTAGTCGGTGTGAACAGGAAAAGATTTAAGAGTTGGAAATTTATGTTCCTTTGGAGGATTGTGATAATCTTTAGTGAATTATTACCTAGTGGCAGCAAGTTCAGTGTTGCAATCTTTTAGATGTATAGCATGCTTGATGCCTTTCATTACATATAGGAGGAACCAAAACAGTACAGAGGAAACATAGCATTAAGAAGAAAGTTTAGAGCTGGCTGTGGTGGCCCATACCTGTAATCCAGAGCTCTGGAGACACTGAGGCGGGAGGATCATGAGTTCAAAGCCAGCCTCAGCATCAGTGAGGCGCTAAGCAACTCAGTGAGACCCTGTCTCTAAATGAAATAAAAAATAGGGCTGGGGATGTGGCTCAGTGGTCCCTGAGTTCAATCCCTGGCCCCATGTCCCCAAGGTTTCCCCTCACCAAAAAAAAAGAGAAAGCTTAGGTAAATTCAATAGGGTAAGATGTGATGAATTAAGATTGACTTGCAGCTGCCTCCTAAAGGTTTTTCCATACATAGGTAAACCATAACCTCTCAGATGTGTAGACATATTGTAAACTACTCTTATAACAAGTAGCCGAGTCTCAGCCAATCACAAGTGCATAAGTCCCTCTTCCTCATACCCTCTTGACTTCATTTTGAATGTTTTCCCCTGGATGCCGGGAACAAACCCAGTGCTTGATTAGCACCATACACAGAGCTATACCCCTAGCCTTAGGACTCCATTTTGAAAAGCTCTTGAATGGTGATTTCATTATAATTTTCCTTTTATTTTCACATTCTCTTCTGTCCTCTTTCCTGGGCCCCTTACCTAGTATTTAAATCGAGGACTCACACAGGCCCCTATGTTCATAGCAGTCCTGGGCAACCTGTGGGTGCTGAGACCCAGGGGGACTAGGAGGGACTTTAGAAAGGGTAACTGTGTCTGACATCTCAGAGGCCTTTCTTAGAATAGAGTAGGCTGATAGAGTTGTTAGTTTGGTTTTGCCTTTTCAAAAGGAAACAAACAAAAGCTTAAAATGATGGCTAGCTTTGCTTTTCATTAGCAATTCAAACATAATTGTTAAAAATGGGCAAAATAGGCATACGTAAGTGACATAGGAATTTATAGATGAACTTTTCATAGCTTCAAAAAACTTTTTTGTGACTTCAAACCTTAAAGTGATTGATAGATAATTTGATACCCAAGTCCTTTCTAAATAAAATACAAAAACATTGATCATTAATTATAAATTTAAAGTTTATGTACTTTATCTTGTTTTTGTATGGTATAGAGAAGCTGATTGTACCTGGATTTGTTCATAAACATGAACAACTTTGTAATCTGAGAAAACACATATCTAGAAGTTATGTTAGCCTACAGAGTACTGGGTGCACAATTGCTAGGAATTAAAATGGTAGATACTATATGGAAACTAAAGTTAGAATTAGGAAAAACAAGGCTGGGGATATAGCCCTGGGGTAGAGTGCTTGCCTTTCATGCACAAGGTCC